TTTTGTTCCGGGGGGGGCTTGTTTGTCTTTTATTTTCGTACTCTAGCATATGCTTAATATGGCAATTAGCATGAAAGAGGTCTTACCTGTCTTCATAAGAAGGTTAAGTTTTTTTAGTGAAACATTAATTACATAGAATGAGGGGTTTAGATGTTTGAATGGGAAAAATCATTACAGAAACTAACCAGATTACTTATCAGGTTAATATCGTGGAGAATCTCCATGTGTATACAAAAAAAATTGCTGAAATTTCTCAATTGTTCAGTGTTGAGGAAGATATTGACTTGGGTTTTCAAAGATGTGCTATTCTTCATCCTTAGAGAATGGTAGAGAGAGCTGTGGTATTAGCAACATTTATGTCAGCTGAGGTTATTTACAATTGATTGACATAAATGTTGCATGCTTTGTTTTTTCTGTTTTTGGAAGAATTCTTTTTCATACTAAGGCAACTGAAGTTGACTCAATTAGAGAATCTTAATGGATGAAGGTGCATGGAGCCTCTAGTTAACCCCTACTTTCACTCATGGTTGATGAGTGTGTTATAGGCCAGATTCATAGAGAGTCAACCATTTATGAGTTTTTTGTTTTCCAAGGCTACAAGGGTGCTTGTAGCATCTTGCTGTGGTCATTGACCCAGAGCAAGTGCATATTATGGTAAGACTAACTATGAAATGGTTCACTTTTTTGAGTCCATTGAACTTGATTCAGCTGGTCTACGGAGTAGAGCGGGATTGTCCTATTCTCAACTCTGTTGGATATTTCATTTTTCCCATTTTGTCTGCATCTCATGATTGACTTCATTCAGTTTATTTATCTCTTATTTCATGGTGAAAACAGAACCAACTTGTCTTGGATCTTGAAAATGGACTCTTTCAGCAACTGAAAACCACATCTGCTGCCCAGCCAACTGAAAGCACTTAGTTGCAGATACAATGGTTTAGTTTGCACTCGCTGTGGAGTTTGCTTCATGTCTTATGCTGTTGAGCTGAAGACCAAACGAACTGAGAATGCCATGAAGATGTGAAACAGCTTGGCTTGTTATCATGGTGCAAGATAGAACTCACTTTTATGACTTTGGTATCAACATTTATATGGGGTGGGTTCCCGTAGAGGCTTGGGGCTCAATTTGTGCTTGTGATTTCATTTTTCCCGATTATGTGCGAATTGATTCTGTGGTTGTTTTTTTTTGGATAAACCTTACATTCAATGAACATTCTCTTGTAATATTTGGTAGTCACAGCAGTCATCAGTATGTTCGAAGAGGTTTTCCCTTTCAGATCAAGAAGAGATCACTAGAGAAGAAATATGATCAAGTAGTTGCTGGTCATTTTCCACCCCTTTACAAGAAAAAAAAATGCTGCATTTTCTGCAACGAAGTGACACTGAATCTGACTGCAGACCTAATATTTAGAATGCAGTAGTTTATTGATACAGTAGTGTTGCGAGGCATCTGAATAACTGCCGTAGAGTATGCACATTTCTTGCTCAGTGCCAAGAACTGGTGAAAAGACCTGAATATTGCTTCCATATGGGTTTGTGCTATTGATGTAATTAATTTGCTTTAACCTTCTGGTTTATCGGGTGGTGTTAGAGCATCTTCAACTCAGGAGGCAAAAGGAAAGCCAAAACAAAAAAAATTGTCCTTTTAGCTATTATCTCCTCTTTTAGCATTTCCAACGGGAAAGCTATTTCAATAGCCAAAATCCCGAAATGCTATTTTTACACGTCTCTGAAAAATGCAAAAAGCATGGAGGAGGTACAAATACCCATCGGCCGACGACTCTTTCATCTGCAGTTGCCCTTTGCTTCCCCTTTTAAAAACGAAACAGAAAGCCTGCAAACCTCGAAGCCAGAATTGTCCTTCGAATCAATTATTTGACTCAATCGGACCATAGCTTCTTGATTTGTTTTCGCTCGTCAATTATTGCTTGCCTTTTCAATTGGCTTGCTTCAGTTATTGTAGTTCACCTTGACATTTCTCAAAATGGGTGTTTTTTTTTTTTAATTGTGATCCATTTGATGATTTTTTGCTTGACTTTATTTTTGTAAAGGAATTGGTTGCTTTCTCTTGTTGGTGATCAGTCTATGAATTTGAGTGTTAGTTTTGGTGATTTTTAGTTTGATTTGAAGCTTGTATTGTAAGTGATATTGCAACAAAAAACATGAACTCGAGGCTGCTACTCCTAGTGCTGGGGCTAGGCTAACGGGGTTTGAAAAATTGAAGGAGAAAAGAAGAGGAAAATATTAAAGGAAGGATAACAGTAGAGAAAGTGGTAGAATTAGAGAAGAGGGGAAGTGAAGAGAAAATCAACAAGATGGTCTTGAGAGTTTTAAACGAGGGCAGAGTTGAGTAACAAAATATTAGAAGATCATAAGCCTGCTCAAGAAGTGAAGCTCTTATAACTGTGGAAGAATTTCTGAATTTTACTTCAGTTCGGCAGAACTTGCTAGATTTTGTACTGTTGACAGAGTAGAGAAACTTCATGTTCCACGGACATGGATCTAACTATAGTGCTCAACAACTCAACTAAAGTTTTGTGTTGCCTTTTGTTTTTTTGTGCGCCGGAGGGGAGCCTTTGTCCTAAACCAGACCACAATCAACAGTTCATATAAACGTTGACTAGCCTGCCCATTCACGACTCATTTTAGATTAACGACGATCCACACAGATCCCGGGTTAGTATGTCATTAATGAAATGCGAATCTTCTGAACTTTGCATGCTGTAGTCTCTAATAGAATGCTTTAAATTGTTGGAGTTTGATTGACTAGAACTTCATGTTTTTACAAGTTACCGGGGCGAGATGAGCACCTGCTTACTTGATTTTTTTTTTCATTAATCATAATTTCATTGATTAACCTGAAAGGCAAAAACCTTTTGACAGTCCTAGCAGTGAAATTTAACCAATACCAAGTTTAGAACGGAGAATCTCGGGCCGCCTGCGCATTCCAGGCTCTTACAAGAATGTTTTGAATGGTCATATGTTCCAGCACTGTCAATGGAGACAAATCCAGGATTTGTCCGTCATTAGGATAATGGCTCAGCGGAACCATAACGCGGGGGTTATGACAGAGGTCAAAACAAGTTGTATTTTCAAAGAATTGATTGTGAGCTTCTTGAGGACTAAAGCATGAGATTAAATCTGAGTCTCACTCATCTTTCCTTTCTTTCTAATACCAGGCTTACAATCGTCCATTGATCGAATAACAGTGACTATGACCTCAAGAAATATACGTGGGTAGCGACAATAATCAGCATACATCTTGTGCCATGCTATTGAACATTTAACCTATTTCCAGTGCATACAGTCAGTGCTATATGTAACCGCAATACAAAATCTTTTCACGTAGTAGCTAATTTGAGAAAAATCCATAAAAACGTATCTCAAATCACCTATAATGGCATCTTTCATACTACCCCAAATGAGATCAAGGAAGCTGCAGTCTATTTTTACTCCAACCTGTTCAGTAAGCCTTGCTCTAAGAGGGCTAAGTTGGATCTTGCTGATTATAATTAAGAAGCTTAGTTTAGAGAGGGCCAATTGGCTAGAACGGGAAGTATCAATGGAAGAAGTTATAGAAGCAGTTTGGGACTGCGATTTTACAAAATCTCCAGGACCAGAGGGTTTTAATTTCAAATTCTACAGGAAGGCTTGGATCTTGATCTGTCATGATATTATGGATTTAGTGCTAACTTTTTCAGAATAGAGAAGCTTCCAAAGGGTGTAAACCTGGCCTATGTAACATTGATTCCAAAGACTGAGGTATCAAAAGGATTCTCTGACTACAGATCGATTAGCATGGTTTATGGGATATACAAAATAGTGGTGAAGGTGCTCTCCAAGAGGCCAAAGCACGTCATCTAAGACCTCATTAGTGATAACCAAACAACATTCATAGCAGGTGGACAGATCACTAATGGGTTTATGATAGCAAATGAAGGAATGATGTTCAAAGTAGCTTTTCACAAAGCTTTTGATACAGTCTTGTGAGATTACCTTGATGAAGTGATGGGATACATGAGATTTGGTAACAAATGGAGAAGACTTAATTATGAGTGCCTTTCTACTTCACAGCTCTCAGTCCTTGTTAATGGCTCTCCTACTAGAGAGTTTCGTGTCGTGGCATTCGACGGGGTGACCCTTTGTCACCTTTTTTATTCAACATAACAGTGGAAGGCCTTTTAGTGTTGATTCATCTGGCATCAACTAGTAGTATGGCTTAGTTCTGAAAGTAATTAAGGCTAGGTGGAAGGACTTCATTTGTAAAAAGCACCAACCATCTTTCAAATATGCCTTCCAACCTTCTTCAAACTATCTAGAATTTGGCAAGGAATCATGTCTGTGATCAATCCTGGAGATGATGCTTCTGAGGCCTTGAAAAGATGCTCTAGCTATGTCACAGGGCATGGAAAAATGTTACATTTTGGATTGACACGTCCTTGGGAGACACCCCTTTAAAGGTACAATTTCCTAGACTATATAAGCTATCCATTAAACCAACCACAAAGATCCATGATATTGGTGAATGGACACATTATACCTGAATTTGGAACTTAATTTGGCGAAGGAATGTGAGAGCTTTCGAGTGGGAGGAGCAGATTAATTCCTTCCAATTGTAATTGAATGGTGCCCATGCTAAAATCTGGAATATTGATAGGAAGGGAAAATTTACGGTAAAATCTTGTTGTATCTTGATTGACAGGTTGATATATCAAGGTCTCCAGCGTTTCACTTCAAATATTTGGAATGAGCAGCTAGCGGTGGAATGAGTAGCACCGCAAAAAATAAAAGTTTTTTTTATGGATAATAGTACAAAATTATCCATGTACAAGAGACTTTCTTATCAACCGATACCTTCTATCATTGGAGCAAGCTTCATGCCCGTTTTGTGCATCAGAGATAGAGTCGGCATATCATCTTCTCCTTCAATGCTACTTTTCTTGAAAACTATGGACGAAGTTCCTTACATGGTGGGGGGTCTAAGACTATGGATCAACTTCTGGTTCAATGGCCAGCATTGACAGATGGTAGATTCTAGAGAAAAGCAAGAAACCTCCTTTCATATGAAATTGCTTGGAGTATTTGGTTAAGTAAGAATCACCTAATCTTTAATCAAATATAGCCGAACTGGAAATCATGTTTCATGCTGTACGGGTATAATGCTGTGTACTGTTCTACTCAAAGTAGGGTTCAATTATTAAAAAAAAAAAAATTGTTCCTGAACCTCAGATAAATCATCTCAAAACAAAAGGGAACATGACAATTCACAAGTCCTATAAAAGATTTCGCATAGAAGATACGTACGCCTTTAGAAATTAAATGAAGCAAAAGATGGACCAAAATCTACTGGCAACCGTAACAATCCATTGCTATCAATGAAACCTACGTAGCATGCACAACAGACAAGAGTAATGGCCATGATGAATTCCGGCAGGGGACCCTCCTCCTCCTCCTATCATAGGAGGGATCCCTCCTCTTTATTCATTTCCAAGAAGATGATGACAACCACTGGGCATGCAGCTTCACATGCACATGGACATCCTCATGCACAACCACAAAGACATTCTCATGGACACCCTCTCATTCTTTAATTTCTATCCACCCCTCTTTTTCTCCATTAACCCACCATTAAAAGGGACACAACTGGTCTCTAGTTGTATCAAAACCATATCAACTTGTAAGAGTAAAACACCCATCTACCATGATGAGTTAATCTTATGCACTTGCTTCCATGGAGCTCCTCCGCATGTCAAAATCACATTATATGAAAGCTAAAGAAATCTAAATTAAGGATAATAATAACTATTAATATTATTATCAGAAGTCCACCATTTTTATGAGCTTTAATCTAGTTGTTTAAATGAGATAGTTTAACCTAAAATATCCATTATTATAATAACTTCTGTTGTGAAGTGCATGACGTTGAATTGACAAGGCTGCCTCCTGAGTTGGAAGGTGTTTTGAATTTAATTATAAAATTATGATTTAAGGGACTTGTCACCTATTATTATAGTTACTATAAAACCTATAACATGCGAGAGTTTGAATAAGGAAACTAGTTATGCGAGAAAAAGACACATCATCCTTAGTGTACCCTGTATAAGTTAAGTTGGATTGTTAATTGATTTTTATTTTAAATTATGTTTTTATTTGTTGGCCTTATTTAAAGTTTAAGGCATATATCTCTTTGTAAAAAGTCTCTACATTATCTATCTGTATTGCACTTATTTTTTAGATACAGTTAAATCC